GCCAGAGGTCATTTCAAATGAAGAACTATGGGAAAGGACACAACAAATGCGTATAGAAGAAAGCATTATGAGAAGAAAATGGAAATGGATCGGGCATACGCCCGAGAATAATATCACCCGTTGCGCTCTCGAGTGGAACCCTCAGGGGTCTAGAAGAAGAGGTCGCCCAAAGCAATCCTGGAGGCGAAGTGTTATAGCTGAGCTAGCCAAGAATAAGTTCATGTGGATAGAGGCAAAGCGAACTACCAGTAATAGAGTTAGGTGGAGATCCATGGTTGACGCCCTATGCTCCCCTTTAGGAGCGAAGATGGCCTAATGTAAATAATGTACGAGCGCATCTGTCACTCGCAAAATCATGTGGAGTTTGGCGATCCTGTTGGCGCTGAGTACATCGATCGACAACTTGAAAGCAATTTTTTTTCAACTAATTGACCAGAATGACAAGTACTTCGAAACTTGTGGCATATCGAGACAACACCTTTCAAAAAACTCATCACTCACCTCAGTACAAAACGCCTCGTTCCACAACGCAAGAAGACACAGATGAAGACACCACCCCAATAAGATGAAAGGTTGAAGCAATTTGCATGCACGTTTTCGAGAGCAGAACCTGCGTGTAAAAATTTCAAAGTACACGCCAAAACTTGCATACTTAGGGCATGTGATCTCGGCAGATAGCGTTCCCCAAATCCATCGAAAGGGAAATTGTCACCACCTAAATCAGCTATAAGGATGTTAGAAGTTTTGTTGGATTAGCTGGATGTTACCGAAGATTTGTTGCTGGGTTTACAGCTGTAGCTGCTCCGTTGTCTGACTTAACTAAAAAAGATACCTCGTGTGAACAGGCCTTTCAAACGCTCAAGAACCTTATTGTCTTAGCCTGCTTGGCAGGCGTTCAAAGGGGAGGGAGAGGGGCCGGAAAACTAGAAGGGTCGATCGGAGGGAAGGGAAGAGGGAGGGACGGTTCCCTTCCCTTCACACTGATCGCGCTTCGCACTTCTAGTTTCCTCCAGCGGGCAACGAATGGATCTAAAAGAAAGATCAGAGACAGAACCCACCCATTAGCAGGTTGATTGCCTTCAAATGGGCAAAAAAACAGACCAGCATTCAGTGCGTGGGTCCTAAGGGGTACGCTACGACCTTTTAGTTCGATCTGTTAAGAAAGATAGTCCTATTCCGATCAGCTGTAGTTGTTTCAGAATCCTTAGTGCAAGAGATTCTAAAAGGAGTTCATGACAGCACTTTTTGAGGGCCACTTAGGCGTTACTAGCACCATACATAGAATTCGTGCGCGCTTTTATTGGCTCAGCATGTGCGATTGTGCGGAGTCCTACATAAGCACATGTTCCGTATGCGCGTAAGACAAAGATTTACCAAACGTAGATAAAGCTCCCCAGCGTAGCACCGACGTTGGTGAACCATTCTCCTTCTGGGCAATGGATTTTATGGGCCCTTCTCCAGAAACTACCAGAGGAAATCGTCATATTCTAGTCGCAATGGATCACTTAAACAAATAGTGCGAAGCTATGGCCATCAAAGACCAGAACGCAAGCACGGTGGCCCCCCTTCTTGTGAACAGGATCATATGCATGATATTTTTTCGTTTCGGCTCTTCTGTGGATCTCCACTCAGATCAAGAAGCTAACTTTGCGATGTCATGGGAATTACAAAGACGCTATCACACTAGCGGAGACGGTCGAGTTGAACGTCAAAACCGCACACTGCAAGAAATGCTTTTAGTATCAGTGGTCTCTCAACACACTGACGACTGGGACGTGCGGTTAGACACTGTTACCTATGCTTACAATTTGAGTCGCCAAGAGTCTATAGACCTCTCACTATATGAAGTTTCTCCGGCCTCTTGTCTGGGATGCCACTCGACTTAGAATTTGGCTTATTACTGTTACACTGGGACATCCGGTTTTGTCGCTCTGAACTCTAAATGGGGAAAACGGGCGTCGAGGGGCCTAACTGGAAACTTGTGTGCTTGACTCTAGGAAATGAACTCGACTCCGCAATTAGCTCGGAGCAACTCACTCGCTTTGGGAAAGGAATTTATCACGGGTTGCAAAGTACTGTCGGATCTGTAACAACTGGAAATATGGCAAGTAAGTAAGTAAAGCATCTATTTATACACGATAAAACATTTTACAGCAACGTTGATGTGGTCGTGTCGAAAAATTAAAAAGCTCTCTAAGAGACTATCTAAAAGGTATCTACAAAGAAGAGCACTATTTATTGCAGAAATAATACGTTAAAACATAAAAACAACTATAAAAAAAATTAAAAAGATTTACAAGCTAGATCGTGTTTAAAAACTGTAAGATTCATGTGGAATTTTCCAAATTGTTCCTTTAAAAGCGTCAAGTGAGTCAACTTGAACTTCACACGTTTATTCTGCGCAGCTTTGCGGTAAATCTTCGATGTGAATCAAATTACAAAGTTATGAGTACTTTACTTATATCAGGGAAGAACAATATTGCATCCTCCTAGGTACAATTGACATAACGCTGAATCAAGGCAGCTTGAAATCTGAAAGTAGGCTGAGTTAATTCAGCTGTATAATTAGACGAGCCAACCTGAAGCCAGCCAGCCTTGAAGTTCTGCAGTAACAGAATACCGGTAGTGATGCGTATGAAGTAAATTGAACTTAACATGTTTTATTTTTCGGTCATTCCAGGTACTCCGGATATTACGAGTATTTCGGTTCCGTTTCCAATTTGCTGGAATCCATGTTTTCCAACCTACCCAGAAAACGACAGCACCCAAAGTCGAATCAATTTGCATTTGAGTTGTGGCTTGCCTTTCATCGCGCGTGTTG